TAAGAGCCACCATCATGGGGCTAATAGCCACCGCCATGGGGTTAATAGCCACCACCATGGGGCTAATAGCCAACGCCATGGGGTTAAGAGCCACCACCATGGGGCTAATAGCCACCACCATGGGGCTAATAGCCACCGCCATGGGGTTAATAGCCACCGCCATGGGGTTAATAGCCACCACGATGGGGTTAAACAGCCACTATCTTTGGCTGTTGTTGGATCCACCACTTCATCCACCCAGGAAAGATCCTCTCTCCACGAACGGGACAGAGATCCACCAATTTACCATCAGTGGATCCCCAGCTTCCTGACTGGTAGCCAGTTGAGCCCTGCCTTCCATTCAATCATCCCAGCGCTGCTTCAGGAGAAGCTCTCCCAGTGTGTGCCTGACTCCACTGCAGGTGGATTACAGACTTCCTGTCTGACAGGAAGCAGCACATGAAGCTGGGAAAACATTTCTCAGACTCCCAGCTCATCAGCTCTGGTTCCTCCCCAGGGTTGTGTTCTTTCTCCTCTGCTCTTCATCAGAGGCAGCGTAGAGCAGAGCCTCCCAAAGTGGGGTCAGGTGACACCAAGAGGGGGGGTCAGGGGATGGTTCTCACAATCATCATGATGGGTGTATGGGGGCCACAATACATCATGAAACAACTAGACGTAACATTTCTATATCATTCTAATACATCAGTGGTTCCTGACATTTCCTGGCTGGGAAAAGAAAAACGACTTTGCTTTGTTCTGATAATGATTTAACAGTTTAACAGTAGTTCAGTATCAACCTTCACTTCCCAGGAATGAAGGTCATATAGTGGAGCGATCCTCTGCTCTGCCATGTAGCTCCATGTTTTTAGAGGGTGACCCCAGGTTGGAGCTGGGAGGAGTGCATCACATTCCCAAAGCCTGGGATTCTGGACCGAAGCCAAACACATCATGACTTTCTGCAGCATCTCATCTGCTTTTTATTTTTCTATATCGCTTCCAATGGAAGAGGAGAGCAGGACCAGAAGCTCTGTGACAGACTATGTTCTGGTAAACCGTGGGAACTCTGCCCCTGGAGCCATAGGAGAAAAACCTGACGATGCTGATAACACATCAAACCACCAGTGGGTTGCCCGTGGGTTTCAGTGGGTGTTTTTTTACCCTGTTTCTAGGAGGAGGAGCTGAGGGGGAGGCGTTATGGACAGGAACGATTAGATCAGAGCTTTCAGTCTTGGGAGTCACAGAGAGCCGAGGGCATCGCTGGGTTAACTAATTAGAACGCTTTCTGTTAGCGTGGAGGAGGGAGCGGTCTACTTCCTGGACTTGGTTTGGTGCGCGTCCCTCCAGGGCTGCTGTGGGAAGTAGTCTGAGGTCTTTTACCCAGACTGTCAGGGACAGCAGCCGCTCTGCCTCCAGCTCTTTTTCTTTCAAACACTTCATTAACAATTAAACGATCCTTCCTTTTTTTCTTGTGCTCCCAAAGCACTGCTGGATTTCTGCCACTTAATTCTTTGGCACAGAGCGACTGAAAATCGTCCCTCTGTAATCATCCTGTGACAGGAGCCCAATGAAAGACACTGATATAAAGATGCTCTGAAGAGCATCGTTTACATTTTTTATGTAAAATTTGTAGAAAAGAAAATTATCATAACATGAAAAAGTTAAATATATGTAAACTTTACAATCTTACATTAACCCTTTAAGCCCAGAGGGCCTTAGGAGAAATACCGCCTGAAATTCCATCTGTGAATTAAATCAAGTTCAGATCCCAAACTATTGGAAATAAAATTGTTTGTATTTTTGTGAAGAATTGTGGAATATTTTTTCCAGGTGGAACCAATATTTTAAATGTCAACATGTCTGATGCTCTGTGGGGCTGGGGCGTTTCGGTCGGCGCCGTGGGGGGGCTGGTGTTCGGTGCCCGGCCCTACTTCGGGGTGGCCGGCTGCCGGCGGGGCCCGCGGACTCGTCCCCGCGGCTCCCCGGGGCGCCGGCATGGCGGTGGCTGGGGGGCTTCCTCGTGGCTGTCTCTCCTCCTGCCTTGGTGGGGTCTGGTTTCCGGGGCTGGCCCCGCCTTGGTGCCTTCGCTTCTGGGGTCCCTTTGGGCGCCTGGGGCTTTGGGTCTCCCGGCGCTGGACTCAGTGCTCTGGGGGGTGTGCCTCTCCGGCTCTCCACAACCACTATTGAGCATTTTTTTCTATGGTTAAAACTTTACATGCACAAGTTCACCCTCACAAACAACTACAGGTGCTAGGCTTCAGGTACTTAGAGATTCACTTCCAAACAGAAACCCCACATTCATATCTTCAGGTGACACAGAGTACATGTCAGACTTAATAATATTACTTTAGTGATAGTTTCAAGGTGTTTGCTTTATTGTATATCTCGTACCATGTTTTTTGGTTGTGCTGTTCTTTTTTCTTTTTTTTTTCTTTTTTTTTTCTCCATCTCATTACAGGTGTTGAAGCAGACTGAAAATGTTTTGTCATTGTCTCCTTCCTATCTCCTCTTTCTTTCATCTTTTGTCCTGTTTTTTTCTTTTTCCTTCTTCTTCTGTTTTTCTGCTCTACTTATATTGCAGTGTCCATATGAACTGTAAAACTCCCTGCATAATTATAATAAAGCAATTTATATACATGAAACAAGTGGAGCAGTATGGCAATTGCCATACCGCTACACTTGTGAAAGTAAAATCTGTTGGGCTCCTTTTGGCATCAAGACAATTATTCTTATTGCCACCTTGCCAGACAGGACACTGTAAAAAAAAAAAAAAAAAAAAAAAAAACATGTCTGATTTAGAGGTGATTAAACAAAGAAAAAAATTGAATTTATTTAGCCTCGCCATATTTTGAATCCAGATTAATCACTGAAAAAAACACCATAAAGCCCATTAGAATCTCTGGCTGAACCCTCAGACTCTATAGATCCACATCTTGACTATAAATTAAGATAATCTGGACTGAATAAGTTGAAGCATTTTTGTTTTTTGATTTTCTCCTGTGGTGGTGAGAGGCTGACCCCCCCTGGTGACCCCCTGTACTCTACAAGACGAACAATCAGACTGAAGGTCGGCCCGATCAAATACTGCAAAAAATGGAAATCTAAATAAGTAATTTTTGCTCAAATTAAGTGCATTTTTCTTGAATTGAGGAGGTAGGTGAGACACTTTGCCAATGGAACAAGACAATTTACATTTAAAATAAGAAAACAACAATTGAATTGTCTTATTTCAAGTGCACATTATCTAATTATCTTATTTTACGAGTAAAAATAATCATTCCATTGGCAGATCATCTTATTGACCTGCTCAAATTAAGGGTAAATACACTTAATTTAAGAAATTTTTTTTACTTATTTCTAGATGTTTTTTGCAGTGAAACATTCTCACACAGCTGGAAAGATTTGCTGATTATTTGACGACGATCAGCTAAAGATCAGAGATTATTTTGGCAGATGTGTTACTTTAACAGATGCTCTTATAAACAAAGTTTAGCGCGTCAGTGAGTTTAAACCGGCTCCTGCATCGCTGTTGTAAAATGTTGAAACAATAGTTCACCGACAGCGACAATGGCGTCGGATGCAGGACGGAGTTTACCCTGCAGTCAGAGGGTTGTCGGTTTGAGCCCCAGCTGGTTTTCAGTGTTGTTGCGTCCTCAGACAGTGAGTGAGCCCCAGGGCAGCTGTGGCTACGATGTAGCTCACCACCATCAGTGTGTGAGTGACTGACTGAATGTGGTCTAAAGTGCTTTGGTCAAGTCTCCTGACTTAACAAAAACTGTAAATGTGTGTAAACAATTTAATATCTTTTTGTAAATTGTACTTTCCCTGGCAAAATGTGATGATTTTCATTTTTGTTTTTAGTTTTATGTTAAAACGCCAGCAATGTTGGATACTGCACAGTGTAATATTTTCTCAATGGAGACGAATGTTCGTGCATTTTAGTAAAGTGTGAAATTGTTGAATAAAAAAAATGAAATAAAATAAAAAAATAAAAATAAATACATAAAAAAAAAGGAGAAGTACTAGAGAGGAAACCACAGAGCCACTACAGACCAGCTACAAAACACCCTTTAATTCAATAAAACAACAAGTAAAATGTGAAAAAATAAATAAAAAAAGTCTCCTGACTTGAAAAAGAGCTATATAAGTAGCGGCCATTTTGCTGCTAGCGCTCGACGCTAGCTCCGATGCGTCGTCGTTGCTGGACCATCCCTACGGCTCAGTAAGAAGCTGCAGAGTTCCACTCCTCTGGACTTCACTCCTTCTTGTGCTGAGGTTTTTTTTTTAATATCTCAAACTTTATCCTGTCAAAGATAAAGTGTGAAATATGCTCCCACCCCTCCCTAATTTCTTTTTTTATTTCCCATTCACTTCACTTCCAGCCTTATTCAAACGTTCGCTATCGACCAATAAAAATGTTATTGCTAATGTCCAGCAGACCAATAGAAACGCGTTTCCTCTCCTCACTCCACAGGAAAGAGAATACGATCTGGAAAGAGCAATTTTAAAAAAACACAAATTCTTAAAATAGGAATTAAATATTTTTGTTTAATCTTAAATCTGTAAAAACAAAGAAAACAATTAGATTTATTTTATTTTCAAAAAAGAAACCAATAAAAATAAAAAATACAATTCAAAATAATAAACTATGAAAAATAAATGTTAAGCATGCTTGTAGCGACAGTGGAGAGGAAAAACTCCCTTTTAACAGGAAGAAACCTCCAGCAGAACCAGGCTCAGTGTGAGCGGCCATCTGCTGAGGCCCACTGGGGTTCAAGGAGACAGAAGCAGACATAGAAAAAGAAGCATAGATACAAAAGGCAACTGTCATCCAGCTCCAAACCAGCTAAACGTAAATGGGGGCATTTTTTACAATAATGGAACAGAATTAGCTCCATAGTGACCGATGCTATAACTGCAGATATCCGTGGTGTTATATAGCGAACATCTAAGAACAGGAAGTCGTTTCCGATCCGTAGGCGAACATTCCGACCTTTAAAGCGATTCTTCTCCTGTGTCTCCAGTCTGAAGGCGGTGCTGTCGGCGCCGTTGGCCAGCGGCGCCCTGGATCTGTCCGGCATCCCTCTGACGACCCGGGACATGGAGCGCCTGTCTGCACACCTGCAGCGTCACGCATCCACCGTGGTCAGCCTGGAGCTGGGCTTCACCGAGCTGACGGACGAGGCCTTCCTGCTGTTGCTGCCCACCCTGGCCGCCCTGCCGCACCTGGAAACGCTGGCCCTGAACGGAAACAGGCTGACCAGGGTGATCCTGAAGGAGCTCACCGACGCCCTGAAGGTCAGAAACACCCGATGAAAATCAGACAGACTAAAATTACCCAGGCTATCTGTAATTTTTCAGTTTTTAGAGAAGACATGATAAACTGCTCTGTACTTATAACCAGGCTTGATCTGTAAAGTGCCTTGAGATGACGTGTTGTGAATTTGGCGCTATATAAATAAACTGAATTGAATTATAGAGTCTCCTGACTCGTCAAAGCGTTCCTCACTACATTCAGTCGTTCACTGATGGTGGTGAGCTGCATGGCAGCCACAGCTGCCCTGGGGCTCGCTGACGGAAGGAGGCTGCCGAACAGCCGCCGCCACCGGGCCTCTGACCACCATCAGTAGGCAGGGAGCGCCTTGCCCACAGCGGCCATGAAAGCCGGGGCTTAAACCGACAACCCTTCAGTTGCAGGTTGAACTCCTGCATCCTATACCTGAGTGAAGTTGCACCACCCAACCCCCCCGGTAGCACCGGGGGGGCAAAACAGACAGCCGGAAAGGCGTACCAAGGACCAATCACAGCTGCTTTTTGTCTGCTCACTTCCGCTTAAGGTGTGAGCGGGTTTACGACCGTCTGACACGTAGTCAGGATTTTTTTTAGGTGCGTGACGATGGATGCAGAACCTTAGCGTGGGGGGCGTGGTTGTTGCAGAGGCTATGTGTCAGAAGCATAAACTGGCCTTTAAGGGTGGGGGGCCACCTCTGGGCCCCCCATGTAGCTCAACCCTGATGAGTTTTCATTCCACTCCTCTAAATGTAGAGAGGAGAGGTGGGTTAACCACAGTAACTACTGATCATCCCGTTATAATGTGAATGTTTTCCTCTGCAGGATCCCAGCAGTTTTCCCAGTGTGACCTGGATCGACCTGGGGAACAACGTGGACATCTTCTCCCTGCCTCAGCCCTTCCTGGTCAGCCTGAGGAAGCGCTGCCCCAAGCAGGGAAACCTGCCCACCATCCTGGAGTTCGGTGAGAGTCAGGCCAGCGAGCCGCCCGAAAGGCCGAGGGGCCTCGGGGAGGAGGAGGAGACGGACGACACCAACCTGACGGAGAGCATGGGAGAACTCGGATCAGAGGTGGAGGGGGAGATGGACGGAGAGACGGAGATCGAGGAGATGATGGAGGAGCTGCTGGACTTTGATCGGGAAATCCAGGGCAAGGAGGACGAGGAGGAGAGCATGTGGACGTTAGGGGAGCAGAGGAGAGCGACGGTGAGGAGCAGGAGAGCGCAGCAGGAGGAGGAGGAGGAGGAAAACATCAGGAAGGACCAGAGGAGACGACCTAGAAGGAAGGCGGTGATGGCGGAGGACGAGGACGACACCCAGAGCCGCTCGTCACACATGTCCTTCTCCAGCCAGTCCCAGCACTCCTTAGCTGCAGCCGAGCCAATCAGGGTGGAGGAGGAGGACCTGACGGACCAATCAGAGCCCTTAACCTGAGCAGTGCTCCCACCTGCTTGTGTTTTCCTTCTTGTGTCCCGTCCTGAGTGGACAGAGGCAGTGGGGGCCTGTGGGTCCCTGCAGGCTGCAGCGTTAGCATGCTAACCCCCCCATGAGGCTCCTGTGAGCAGAATGTTCCTCAGTCAGGTCCTTCCTTGTTTTAATGCTAATGCCTACATGTGCCTGTAGCACCTCAGCTCAGAGCAGGGGTCAAAGTTCAGAAGAGAGACGTTCCATTCAGAGGGAGCGAATAAGGAAAACATGGAGTTAATCGCTGCCTTCAAGCAAGCATCAAACATTAACACGCCTTTATGCTCATAGTTCAGCTCACGCTCCACTTCCTGTTACCGTGGCGCTGTGTTTATATCTACCCCCTCCCCCACTGTCCCTATGGAGGTAGCAGTATGTAGCTCCACCCTGCTTCCCTCAGCGCCTCACATCATGCAAAGCTTTAATAGATTAACTGTATTTCTGGTTCTGCTGTAAATAGGAAAATTATCTCAGCGTATTTAAGCTTTGGCTGTTTGAAGGAGTTACCGGGTAGCTTAGTTAGTAACTTATGATAACCAGGAGATTATATTTAGTATTAATCTGGATCAGATGAACCAGACTGCTGCTTAATTAATGGTATTTATTGGTCCCTTCATCCAAGCTTCATCCAAAGGCAGCAGATGAATGAAGTCAGTCGATGCCTGGTTGAGCCTCCATGGAGGCCCCTCTGTGTGACGGAGCAGGTAACCTGCTGGTAATGAGGACAGTTAGGAAGGCCGCCCATCGGTTCAGCTTTAAAAGGATAATTTCTCTTCATCTTCCTCCTTCTTCTTCTTTTTCCATGAGTTTTCATTGTAGAATAACAGAAATCAGTGATTTTTAAGATCAAATGTTCCAATCTTGGATTTAAATTAATCATTTTTTTTACTGTTATCTAAAAGATGAATCGTCTCTCTTCGTAATGATTTTGTTTTCACCCCATTTCAGGCTTTCAACTCATCAAATATGAAAATTATGTCCATTAAACGACTCAGTCATTCCATTTGATATGACATATTTCCATACGTCAGACAGTAATCAGGCGTCTGCAGGGCGGGTTTCATGATCATGGTGATGTCATCCTCAGGTATATGACGGCCAAAATATGAATGTTCTACAAATAAATAAATGTAACATTGATTTATTTATCTAAAACAGAATCCCAAAGATTTTAGACAATTACGATGCAACAATCTGGACCCTTAAAATATAAATTGGAGTGGAGCAGGAGCGGAGCTAGATGGGGGGCCAGGGGTGGCCATGGCCACCCTTAGCCGATCATTGGCCACCCCTATCATTTATTCCCCTCTAAGACAGATGGTGGCAACAGTAATACTCTCAAGTGAAATATTCAAAACATTTTATTTTTTTGTGGTTAGATATAAACATCAATATACTAAATATAACACCAAAGATGATAAATACAGAATTCATGCTCTTTTCAGAGCTTGATTTTGTGTTATGTGGGGTAAAGTCATCTAGGAGTCTTCAGTGAAATCATAGATAAATAACAATTTAAATAAAAAAAAAATGATCAAATAATTAATTTATGTAGATATTAGTGCTTGTAAATATCCATTTTATACAGAACATTTATTGATACAAGTAGGTAAGTAATGACAGTGATGATTGATTTACGCCCCAGAACTCAAAACTGAGTTTCATCCAGTTTATCTTTTAATCAGAAAATTACGGATGTTTAAATATATGCGCTTATTTTTTAGCAAAGGCTGTAGGAAAGTATAGTTTGTCTTTATTTAGAAAATATGGATGTTTTGCTTGTTAATTTTCCTGTTGGAACAGAGTAGATGGACTGTGAGGTTCTGGTGCCGATCCACTTTCAGCCCCCCCTTAGTGTACATTGGTTATTGCCTAGCCACCCTTATAAAAAATTTCTGGCTACGCCTCTGGAGTGGTGGCCTAGTGGTTAGGGCTTTGGATCCCAGAGGTTGTGAGTTTGAGTCCCACTCCCACAGACTGCCACTCTGGGTCCCTGATTAGGACCCTTAATGCCACTCTGCTCCCCGGGCGCCGCACAATGGCAGCCCACTGCTCCCCGAGGGGAGGGGTTAAATGCAGAGAGGGAATTTAGTTGCTCTGTACGGCTGACAGTGGAATGAGGAATAGTTGAATTCTATTCTATTCCTTTTTTTTTACTTCACTCTATATTTATTTAGGCATAAATAATGAAGTATATATATACATTTTTAAATACAGTTATTCTTTAAAATGACATTTACTTATTTAATGAATCATTTTAAATGTTTTCATATGTATGCATTTAGAAGTGCAATTATTTAATGGTGTAAATTTAACTCTATTCAGTTTATTTCTATAGCTCCAATTCACATCATGTCATCTCAGGTCACTTTATAGATCCACATCAACCAGATCATCCAGTCAGATTGATTCAAAGTTTTCTATCTAAGGAAAACCAGCTGATTGCATCGACTCATTGACTCTTCAGCAATCCCTCACACTAAGCATTCTTGTAGCGACAGTGGAGAGGAAAAACTCCCTTTGAACAGGAAGAAACCTCCAGCAGAACCAGGCTCAGTGTGAGCGGCCATCTGCTGAGGCCCACTGGGGTTCAAGGAGACAGAAGCAAATGACTATTAAATGCTCTATTTAATAGTGTCATGATCGGTACACGAATGTGACCCAATTATGCAGAACACCACGACACAGGAAACAGATGAAAAGTTAACAGAGTTTATTGAATACAATCCAATGGTAGTATGTTCTGGTTCTGGGCAAACGGGTTCACCGGAGTCTGTGGGTCCTTGAATGGATCTTGGAGAGGAAGGTTGTTGGAACTGGAGAGAGTCTGATTAGCTGAGTCCGTTAGCTGCTTCAGCGTCTTGCTTCTAGAAAGGCAGCAGACCTTGACTTTGGATTTCCAGCTCTTGGTCCAGAGCTGCAAGAGAATCCAGGGGAAGTCTTCAGGTTTGGCTCTGAGGGCAGGCTCGGCGGGTTAAGCTCTACCAGAGCTTCACGAAGGAAGATCAGGTTTTCCTGGAGAGACAGAGACAAGATTAGGATCCTGTCAGAATCTCAGAGTAAGCAAAGTTCTCAGAGGTTCTGGGCTTAGGTGCTAACCAACTGGCTCAACACTGCGGCGTTGAGGCAAGGTCTGAAGACAGCTTAAGTAGAGGGTCCTCCTGATGATGGTAACGAGCAGCAGCTGTGCAGAGGGCTCTGCTCAGGAGGATCCACAGCGGACTCTGCTGGAGAAGAGAGGTACTTCTCCAGCTTCCAACAGTACCCCCCCCTCAACGACCGCCCCTTGGCGGTCCGGAGGAAGTAGATGGGTAGGAACGCTCATACTCCTCGATCAGGGAAGGATCGAGGATGTAAGAGCCGGGAACCCACTGACGGTCTTCAGGGCCGTAGCCCTCCCAGTCGACGAGGTACTGCCAGCCGCGACCTCGCCGACGGGAGTCCACGATGCGACGGACGGTGAATGCAGGGTGACCATCGACTTCCAGGGCGGGTGGTGGGGAGTCGGATGGCGGGCACAGAGGGCTAGAGACTACGGGCTTGACCTGAGACACATGAAAGGTGGGATGGATGCGTAGACTCGGAGGTAGCTGGAGACGGACTGCGGAGGGACTGATGACCTGGGAAACCTTAAACGGACCGATGAATCTGGGAGACAGTTTCCGAGACATTCCCTTGAGGGGAATGTCCCGGGTAGACAGCCATACCTCCTGTCCGATGGTGTACTCAGGAGCGGGACGTCTCTTAGAGTCGGCAAAACGTTTGGAGGTTTCTGATGATCTGTTGAGAGTGGTGATGGTTTCCTTCCAAACCCTTTGACAGCGGCGGATGTGTTGGTTGATCGTCCTGACTGATATCTCCTTTTCATCTGCGGGAAAAAGTGGTGGTTGGTATCCATGACTGACCTGAAATGGTGACTGGCCGGTGGAAGCGGATCTCTGGGAGTTATGGGCGTACTCAATCCAAGGGAGATACTGGCTCCAGTCGGTGGGGTTGTTGGAAGTTAGGCAGCGGAGGGTGGATTCAAGGTGCTGGTTCATGCGCTCGGTCTGACCGTTGGATTGTGGATGATAACCTGAAGTCAAAGCAGACTTACAACCCAGAGCTGAACAGAAGGCTTTCCAAACTTGTGAGATAAATTGAGGACCACGGTCTGATAGGATTTCCTGGGGAATGCCATGTAATCTGAAGACGTGTTTCACGAGAAGCTGAGCAGTCTGGAACGCCGAGGGGAGCTTCCTGAGAGGGACTAAATGACAGGACTTGGAAAAACGGTCAACGATGGTGAGTATTGTGGACATACCTCGAGAGACGGGGAGACCAGTGACGAAATCTATGGCAATGTGGGACCATGGACGTGAAGGGATCGGAAGAGGTTGAAGCAGACCAGAGGGTGGCTGATGCGAGGCCTTGTTTCTAGCACAAATGGGGCAGGCCAGCACATATTCCTTTACGTCCCTGTGGAGAGTGGGCCACCAGAAGCGTCTGGTGATGAGAGCGATGGTTCTACTGACTCCAGGGTGAGCCGAGAATTTGGCAGTGTGCATCCATTGAATGAGCCTGGACCTGACGGAAGACGGGACATAAGTTCTGTTAGCCGGACCGTTACCTGGGTCGGGTTCCGTGGCCAGGGCGGAGTTAATGAGATCGGAGATCTCCCAGTTCACGACTCCCACAGTACAAGAGGCCGGGAGGACTGGCTCTGGAGTCTCGGGTTGATCGACGGAGTATAGGCGCGAGAGGGAGTCTGGTTTCACATTCTTTGATCCGGGTCTGTAGGAGATAACGAGATTAAATCTGGAGAAGAAAATGGACCACCTGGATTGACGAGGATTGGCCTGTTTGGCAGACTGGATGCTAGCAAGGTTCTTGTGGTCAGTCCAGACTAGAACCGGGTGCTCAGCTCCCTCTAACCAGTGTCTCCACTCCTCCAACGCCAACTTAATGGCTAATAGTTCTCGATCTCCAACACCGTAGTTCTGTTCTGCTGATGAGAGTCTGCGGGAGAAAAAAGCACATGGATGAATCTTTTGATCTGAGTCGAGTCTCTGGGAAAGGACGGCTCCAACGCCAGAATCCGAAGCATCGACCTCCAGGATGAACTGTTTAGAAGGGTCAGGCTGAATTAACACCGGTGCTCTGGAAAACAAAGATTTCAGTTTGTCAAAAGCAGACTGAGCTTCGGGAGTCCATTGAAAATTCCTCTTAACCGAAGTTAAAGAGGTCAGAGGTTGAGCCATCTGGCTATAATTTCTAATGAAACGACGGTAAAAATTGGCGAACCCCAAAAACCTTTGAAGCTGTTTTCGAGTTTCAGGAATCGGCCAGTCCAATACCGCCTTTATCTTGTCCTCAGCAGGCTTAACCTGCCCGCCCTCGAGCACAAACCCCAAAAAGGTCACTGATGGTTGGTGGAATTCACATTTTTCTGCCTTGACGAATAACTTGTTCTCCAGTAGCCTCTGTAACACCAGACGGACATGTTTCTTGTGATCAGTTAGGTTCCGTGAATAAATGAGTATGTCGTCTATATAGACAAAGACAAACACATTTAAAAAATCTCTGAGAACATCATTCACTAGTGCTTGAAAGCAAGCGGGGGCGTTAGTTAAACCAAAAGGCATCACCAGGTACTCGAACTGACCTAATGGTGTCTTGAAAGCAGTCTTCCATTCATCACCTTCTCTGATTCTGAGGAGATGATATGCGTTTCTCAGATCCAGTTTGGTGAAGACTGTTGCCCCCTGAACTGGTTCAAAAGCTGAGGCTAGGAGAGGTAGAGGGTACTTATTCTTTATAGTGATTTGGTTCAACCCTCTGTAGTCAATGCATGGTCTTAATGAACCATCCTTCTTGCCAACAAAAAAGAAACCAGCACCCAAAGAAGAAGAGGACGGACGAATAATTCCAGCAGCTAAAGACTCGTTAATATACTTCTCCATTGTCTCTCGTTCTGGTTTGGAGATGTTGTATAAACGGCTGCTGGGTAACGGTGCTCCAGGTAACAACTCAATTGCACAGTCATATGGTCTATGTGGTGGAAGGGACGTAGCACTGACCTTACTGAAGACCGGGGCCAAGTCATGGTACTCAAAGGGGACTGAAGATAGGTCAGGGGAGTCCATCTCCTCCCCCCCTCTAGGAGGCCCCACCACGGGGGCTGCCGACCGAAGACAAGTCTCATGGCATGACGTAGACCATGCTTCCACGTGACGTTCGGTCCAATTAATGCGTGGATTGTGTTTCTCCAGCCATTCGAATCCGAGCACCAACGGGGAACATGCGGAGGGAATGACAAAAAATGTGATAGTTTCACGATGGTTACCTGAGAGGAGGAGCTCGAGGGG